CCCCAAAACCCCAAAACCCCAAAACCCCAAAACCCCTATCTAACATAAATAATTTGAAAATTTTAAAATTATAATGAAAGCAAGTATCCATAAAGATAGAATTTCGGAAGAAGAATTGGAGATCCAAAGAAAAAGAGCTCAACTTCAAGAGGTAGATCATAAATCTTTTTATCATACTTCCTCAATTGCCAAGAAAAGAAACAAAGAACAAATAGAGCAACTTAGAAAAGAGAATAAGGAGTTAAAGGAGCAACTCCATGCTAGAGCAGTTACTTCAGGAGGAGATTCAACAGATCCTAAGGCTACAGATAGACTTGTAGCTAAAACAGAGAAAGAGTTGGCTCTCTGGAGAAGAAAATGGGACATATCTAAGGATAAATCTAAATAAAAAGAAGAGTGAACTTCTTTCACTTCAAGATAAATTACAAGAAATTCAGGGTTCTAGTAGTGACCAAGCTGCTGCTCGGTACTCTACAAATAACAATTCTGATGATAATCCTCAAATGAGGATCATTAGGATGCTAGAAAATAAGCTAGATAAAGCAATGATCAAGTATAATGAAGCTCAAAGTATAAGAAAAACCTACGAGATGATTGTTAAAAGATTAAAAGATGAAAGAGTTGGTTATGACAACCAACTAGCAGCTATTGAGCAAAGTCTCAAAGGAAAGCAAAATGATTTTGAAGAACTTCTCCTTCTCTCATATGATGCAAAACATGCAAAAGAAATAGCTGAAGCTGAATTAAGAAAATTCAAAGCTCAACTAATAGCTAAAAGACAGTTAAGAGATAAAGAGATCGCAGAGCAACAAAAGACAGTTAACCTCAAGATTCAAAATAAGAATCAAGATGAAGAGAAAAACAAGCAGACTCATGAGCAAGAGATCATCAATAAAAAGAAGCAGTATGAAGAAGCTAGAAAGCAAAAGATTGATAGCCACCAAGTCGATCAGAATGCAGTCGACAAGAAGAAATCTCAAATTGAAAAGTATGAAGAGTCTTTGCGTAAGATAAAAGATGCTACTGGTGCAAGTGATATAAATGAAATTATCCAGCGCTGAGTGACCCAGAAAGAAATGTATCTTTCCAGACATAACAATTCTGATGGCCAAATTAATGCTTTGGAGAACCTCCGATCAGAAAGAGAGGACTATGAGCAACGTATTCTAGAGCTAGATGAGGAAAAACTCAATCTCAAAAAGAAACTTCAAAAGGTCAAATATGAAGGTGTTGAGAACATTACAAGAAAGCAGATCAATGAAGTTGAGAGACATGTAACTGAAAGTCAAGCTAGGCTAGAAAAGAACAGAGACAAACTAGAGCGCCTAGTTAAAAAGCTGATCGATAGTAAAGCAGGAATTGAACATCTCTCTGATAAGCTTATTGACATAAAGCTTGAAAATGAGGAAAATCTCGACATCAACCAAGAAGATAAACTAGTTGAATGACTCAAACAGATAGAGAAGAAGTGCAGGAAAGTTAAAGAGGAGATCAAAGATGATGAAACCTATGAAGACATAATGATGAGAATTCAAGGACTTAGAGTTGACAAAGATCACGAAGTTCCTCTCTATAAGAAACTAGAATACGATTTCCCAAGTCTTGAGAACATCAAAAACAATGTAAGAGTTAGAATTCCTGAAAAAGAAAAAGATGACAACTTCTCAGATCTCGATGCAGAAGATGAAGCTGAAGCTGAGACAAATGAAAGAATGAAGATCAAGGTTGAAGCTCAGTTAAGATATGACAGAATGGAGAAAAATAAATTGAGAAAAGCAAAGAAGAGTGGTAGAAAATATTAGATTCAATAACTGAATTGTATATAGGGGTTTTGGGGTTTTGGGGTTTTGGGGTTTTGGGGTTTTGGGG